CTACTTAAACAAAACCTCCGTTTAGACGTGTGCCCAAGGGGGCTGAGGGAAGCACACTGTAGTCATTGAGGGTTTCTGGACTAGTTTTATTTGCTGACCACTAATAGGTCCCTGAACTGCTGCTATTCAGAGTCAAATATTACTGTGCGGGGTGCCTGAACCCCATTAGCCTTGGGGCTGTCCAGGGCTGACACTTCCAGGGCCCGATTTATGGGACTAGTAATTCACATGGTACAATAGAGTCAGTGCTTGGGAAGTGGGGAGGAGAGAGCTAACCTGGAACATCAAAGAAATTGCAAAAGTTGCCTACCACCGCAAGATAACCCAGTAGAGTCAACATGAAGCAATGGGTAAACAAGGGGCAGAGAGGGGGTTTTTTTTGTTTTTTTTTCCAAGGCTAGCATTTTGCAAGACACTTGGTAGAGATTTTGCTGACAAACTCAGAGAAAGACCAAAATGATAGCATTTTACTTCTGGGGGTTAGTAAATTGATGATAACTCCAAGTTTTCTTGGCAAATGAATTATAATATAAGGCCCAATGCTTTGTGCTTGCTCAAAGGGATGAAGAAAAATAACAAAATCTAGAACTGATTTAGCGAGAGACCAGTGCCTCTGTACAAGTAGTTATTGCTTATCCCTAAGAAATTGCTCCTGAACTCTCTAACCTCCTTCCTCTCTTTCCTCCATTTTTGGTCTATATGTGGGATGACTACAGACATGATCCAGCTTGATCACAAGCTTTCAAGGTCTCTAGTTTGAACAAATGCTACATGCTCCACTTGAAGAAATTCTTAAATGGCACTTGGGCCCTAACAGGTTTGGCTCAGCAGAAAGAGCATTGGCCGGTGGACTGAAAGGTCCCAGGTTCGATTCCAGTCAAGGGCATGGACCTTAGTCGCGGGCACATCCCCAATAGGAGGTGTGCAGGAGGCAGCTCATCAATGTTTCTCTCTCATCAATGTTTCTAACTCTCTATCCCTCTCCCTTCCTCTCTGTAGAAAATCAATAAAGTATACTTTTAAAAAAATGGCACTTGGAATTTCAGTATAAATATGACACAGCAGCTTGCATCCCTCAGAGATGTGGACTATCCAAAAGAAGGTAGCCCTTGGTCAACATAGCTAACCACACTGCTTCAACAAGAAATAGGAAAGCGCCTCTCTGAGCCAACAAGACCACCATGGTGCTGATTCGACTTATTAATAACAACAGCACTCACACAGGCAGAGCATCCTGCTTTGTGTTATTAGCCTTCTGCGCTACAGAGAAGTGGTGAAGAAGGAAGCTTTGGTGACAAACCTCTGGGCTCCAATGCCCGCCCCGCTCACTTCTAGCTGTCTGACCCTGGCCAAATTATGTAAACTCTCTAGCCTTCAGCTTCTTGACCTATAAAAATGGGGATAAAAGTGGTTATGGAGGTTAAATGAGCTGAGTAATTCAAATAAAACTCCATAGCACAGGGCCACACGCACAGCATGTGCTCCATAAAAGGGAGCTGCTGCCATTATCTTCCTTGCCCCACGTTCTTTTTGTCCATTTGAGCTGCCTAGAAAATGTCCTATCTGCCAAGGTTTTCTCTCTGTCTGGGAGGCCAAATCTAATGGTCTCCAGCTGATGATCTGGATGGTTCTATCTCACTTTTCAGGGGGAAAGTGGAAATCCAAGTTCCTTATATCTAAGAGAGCTCACACTCTGACATGGATGAGACTGTCACTTCTAATGGATCCACCCCAATAATCAAGACAATCAGGATATGCAAGCAAACTTTAAATATTGAGGTCAGAGGTAATTTCATCTATATATATTTTTAAATCCATACCTAACCTTTTTCTATTCAAAAGCGCCCTTTATTTCTCTGAGTAGAGCCTATTTCTATTCTCTCTTTAAAAAATATGTAACTTCCCCCATTCCTTCTAAGAACAAAAGTCTGCTGCTCAGAGGGGAAGGGGAAAGGGAAGAATTCCTTCAGGTTTAAAAGTTGGGGTGGACATGGAAACCCCTCATATCCTTTTTGATCCTGTTCTATTTTTCATGGCAGAAGCTTGCAGCGAGGGCTCGAGTGGGATGCAGTAGAAGTTTTAACATTCAAGGGAGCAGACGAACTTGCTGCAGTCTGTGCGACTGAATGGGAAATTTCCCAGCTGGGGCCTGCTGGGGTAACAGGTCGCTTTGCCTGGACTGGATTTGGGTCAAACAGCAAATCGTCAAATCAGAAAATACCAGCAATGTTTTGTTTGGCAAAAAAAAGTGGGTATTGATCATGATACTTCTACTGGATCAAAGATGCCATCTGTTCCAACGCAAATTAGAGGGTGACCCTCTAGCCTCAGCAAAGTTCGGCCACACTCTCTGGGCCACAGACCTTTTGTGTGGGCCTCATCAAATAGGAGCTGATCAAATCAACGAAGAAAAGATGTCGTTCATACCAGGACCGGTTTGGCTCAGTGGATAGAGCGTCAGCCTGCGGACTGAAAGGTCCCAGGTTCGATTCTGGTCAAGGGCATATACCTTGGTTGTGGGCACATCCCCAGTGGGGGGTGTGCAGGAGGCAGCTGATCGATGATTCTCTCTCATTGATGTTTCTAACTCTATCCTTCTCTCTTCCTCTCTGTAAAAAATCAATAAAATATATATATTTTTTTAAAAGATGCCATTCTTTGCTTCCCATGCCTCTTCCACTTCTAAGTGTCTATACAATAAATTGACTCCTTCATCCTAATAGGAAACTCTGGAAAAGCATCCTTGGAGCATTTTCTTCAGCCCAGCTCCTCTAAATTGGAATGTTTGCATTAAAAGTTAATGACAAAAATTAATGAGGTTACATGAGAAGGTCAAGGAGATTTGTACGGGAAGGGTGGTGCTTCATTAAAGAGCGGGACTCATCATGTATTTCCCTGTGGCCACAGAATCTGGGCAAACTAAGGCATCCCATCCACAGAGGAATCAGAAACCAGCATTCCTATATGGTGAAGCCTTGAGGGCAAAAAGGGAAAGAAAAAAAAAAAAAATCCCAGACGTCAGAGACCATGACAAAGATGACCACAAGGAATGTAAATAAAATATTATTACAAGCGGCTCACTCACCACCTCACACTCCCTTCCCCAGAGTGAAAAGTAAAAACATACAAAGTGTGTGTGTTTTAAAGAACTATCGAGCTGCTCTTTGGGAAGAAGCCATGAATATGAAGAAGTTCTTCATTGTTTTGGGTTTTTTTTTTTTCCTCCATGTGGCTCACTTTGATAATCACAAGGCTTGAAACAGTTTTAAGGGCTTTGGGCTGGTTACTAATTTAAATTTGGGGAGCATGAGGCTGAGCCCCATATTGATAAGCTCCTTCCAGCAGTGACTTGATCTTAGTCAGTGATAAGCCCCGTTGACCTCAGCTTTGGAAGCCCCTACCCAGGCCCTCTCAACATAACATCTCCAAACAAAATAAACGCATGGCACACACAAAATGTAACACACCGGACGACTGCCAATGGACATGTGTACATTTCACAGAAGAGGCATGAGGATGTTTCTAGCAAGCCAAGCTCGCCATGTGGAATGAAAACCAGAGCTCTCTCTCCTGCTAAGGGTCCGGGGCACACAGCAGTCCATAAAGGAAACAGGCCAGCACAAATAACTTAAAGGGACAAAATCCACCAGATTTGCCAAAGCACTGACCACTAAGTCAGAAGAGCCATCTTAAAGAACGGTACTCTCAGCTCCCTAGGGATATGTCCAAGAGCTCCCCACTCCTACCCCTCGTTTACCCCTCCTTTAGGACAGAATCCACACCCCAACCTGAAGGAGGAATTCCCATGCACAATACGTGTCACAGGTGCCACCAGGGCTGAAATCCATTTCCATCACCTTCAGCCAACCATTCAGAATCCAGTGTGGACATTCTCTCTCTAAGACAACGAGGGTGTTAGAAGCTGGTCACTCTCCACGCCATTGCTAAGGCTAAAGGTTCCTTTGCTTGTTTAGTCTGTTGGAGACCGTGGGGGTGGGCCCCATGGTTCTGGTTCTGGTTCTGGACATGGGAGCACCACGGGTCTCAGGCCTGAGAGGCGCCTGGACAGGCGCTGTGGGGCATCGCCTCTGGCAACCGCAGTGGGCGCCAGCAGGTGACTCCTCAGCGTGAGAACTCACAGATTCATTTCTCCCAGCCTCTGAGGAGCCGTCTGCAGCTTTGGATTTTCATTGAGAAACCTTCCAAGCCAGCCAGGGCGCCTGGCCTTCACCGTCCTAACTCTTCAGACGCACTCCAGCGGTGCTATATTTTACCACTTAAACACTTCTTCAAACTTTACCACGGAACAGTGTGGCTCGGAGCCTGCCAAAAGTGCAACTGCAGGACTCCGTGCATTTTATCTGGCAGAGCAGCTGCCCTCCCTCTGGAGAATATGTTCCTTTGGGCAAAAGGAAGTCATCAAATCTCAAGTCGGGGCCATTCCGGGGCCCCGAGGGTCCCCTCTGACAACGCAGCTCTTCCTCCCTGTGACCTCTTTCCCAATTCCAGAGCGTGGGCATGCAAATGAAAGGGGTCTCAGCAGACAGCTGTGGAAAGCCCTGATGGGATGACCCAGGGCGTAATTATTCCTTGCTGGACATAATTTCTGACTTTCAAATATCTGGGGGAGAGCTGAGGTTCAGGGGAGATGAAGGGAGAGCGCCAAGGAATGGGGAAGAAGAAGAAGAAGAAATAAGGAGCATACCATGACCAAGCCAAACCAGCTTGATATTTCCAAACTATTGGCAAATGGATGCTTTCACAAATCATTTGTCCTGCCTTTCCTGGAGACGAAAAAGAAGAAAAAATTTCTGGATGCAAAAACCGTACCCCCAGACCAGTGGGATATAGTTTAACATAGCTGGTCAGAAAGTCCATCTGAACCTGATAGTCTGGGCAAATCCCTGCAAATGGGCAAAAAGGCGCCAGCTCGGCTCCTCCGGCCCGCCACCTCCTCCTCCTCCAGGCTGGCCCCCGGCTGCGCCGCCGGTACCACCTACCTGCAGGCGCTCCGTGGCCGGCTGCCACATCTTCCAGCCGCGGGGTCTGGCAGGGGGACGCCGGCGAGAGGACTCCGTGGATGCGCTCGGGGGGCGAGGGGCTGCGCGGTCCGCTTTACATCTGGGGCGGGTGTCCCCGGGATGTGCGTCCGGAGCCGGCCTCGGCCGCGGGGCGGGCGGGCGAAGGGGGCTCGGAGCCGGAGGAGGCGGCGCTGCGCTCAGCAGCCTGCCGGCAACTTGTGGGCACGGCGGCGGCGGCGGTCCTGGCGCAGCCCCGAGCAGACTGCGCAGCTCCGCCCGGGCGGCGAGCGCTCGGCGCGGCGGCGGCAACCGCTCCCTCCCCGCCCCCGCCGCCACCCGCCTCGGGATCTGCTCGCTCTGAGCATGCCCAGGCCCGCGCCCGCCTGACAGCCGAGGGGGGTCGGGGAGCCCAGGGCTAGAGCCCCCAGATCCCGGCGAGGGGAGGTGGGGGAAGCCAGAGCTGGGGCCTTGCTCCCCGCGGACCACCTAGAGAGCATGCCTTCTTGGAGAAAGAAACCTTAGCCCCCAAGGACTCCCAAGCTCCGAGCAGCGGGGATCCCTGAACCGCCTGTGAGGAGCCTGGCACTGTGCTGGGAGGCAAACTTCCATTCATCCCGCTGGAGCTAGAGTTAGCTAAGCACCTATTATGCTCCAGTCTGTAAGCTGGAGTCTGAAGATGGAGCCGCACAAGATACAAGACAGTGTTCCTGGTCCCCTGAACTTCCCATTCCGCTTGAGGAGGCAGTTCACCAATGCACCGAGTAAACCTGTGAGCAAGTGTTAGGTCGGGTGGTGATGAAAGCTGGGAGAAAAGAAAACGGAATGATGTGGGAAGAAAGGGGGAAGAGCTGGTTCCATGGGGCCCTGGGAAAGATGTAGTGAGGGGTCATGTGCAAGACTGGATAAGGAGGACAACCCAAGATCCTCCATCCTTCATTCCTGAGATCTGCCAGGTGCTGCAGGAGGCTCTGGAAACCCAAGATAAATCAGGGGCCACCCTAAGCTCCCAGACCAATAACCACCTTTCGTAAAATGGCCAGGCTCTTCACATCTTCTCCACAACTGGGCGAGACAAGTATTAATACTCCCCTCTGTAGACAGAACAAACCGGCTTGTGGAGTTTAGGTCGCTGTCCAAGTCACACTGTGTGTGGTTTACAGCGCACACTCAGGTGACTTCCAGGCCAGAGCTCTGGCCATGCAGCTCCAGCTGCTCTGCCCAGGGAAACACCAGGCTAAAGAGCAGCCACCTGGGGCTGGGGGAAGAGGAACTTGGAGGGATGGGGTGCCCAGCTGCTCCTGGGGGTGGGGGGAGGGGTGACGAAGAGTGTGAGAGGAGAAGATGGTGGAACAAAAGTTGAGGGGAAGGAGAATGCAGTGCATGGGGCGAGGGGGGAGGGGGGCTCAAGGCTCTCGAGAGGGTGCCCTGAGCCTCAGGGCTAGCAGGAGAAGCATCCTGATGGCACACCACGGTGGGATATATGCACTGTCAAAACCACACCCCACGTCCAGAAGGCTCTGTGCATTATCGTGTATGTGTGTGTGTGTGTGTGTGTGTGTAATGATATCAGAGCTGGAGCACTCCAGAACCCAGCACTCAGCTCATCAGATCATCCCAGCAGCAAACTGATTGGTTGGGAGGGAAGGACCTAGACTCTAGGGACAGAAACCCTTATCTCCCAAGGTTGTACAGCACATGGGTTAGCCCAGAGCGAGTCATCCAATAGTGCCTCAGATCCAGGCTCTGCTCTACCCTCCCCGGCCAATCCCCCAACTTCTCACCCCTCCCCCCCACTGTGCTCCTCTCCAGGGCCCCAGGCAGCTCCTTCAGGACCACACTGTTGTTGGTTGGTGCCACAGAGATGCTTCTGAGAGGCCAGTCTCCATCTCCCCAAGAGGCCACAGGACTCCTCTGCTTCACTCACCCCCCACCATCTGCCTAAACACCCCGACTCCCCCTCCCACCTGCAGAACAAGGACGACTTTCTCAGCTCCTTCTCCAGTCCCCGCCACTTGCGCTGGACCCATCAATTAATCCCTTGTGATGAGGTGTTGGTGTGTCAGCCCTGCATGGACAAACATCTCAGACGCTTCTTTGGAGACGATATTTTTACATCTCCTATAACTCATCCATCCTGCACACCTCCTACACCTGAAACATTTCTGTTGGAAATAATAGACCTTCCCAGCCTCCTAGTTTTCTTTTATCAAATCCCCCAGCAGAAAGAGGTGTCCTTCCTGTTGAGAATCTAGTAAATCTAAATGTGTCTATTAAAACATTCAGGAAGCTAAAACAGGAATATTCGGTTGCCAGGGACGTCTTCAGACTTGAGCTTTGAAACCTTCCTTAGTTGCAGATGCCTCCGTGGAAAAATAATTTTGTTTTAAATAGCAATGGGGTGAGATAACGGGCCTAAATTCACATCCTATTAGAGCGTTAAATCCTGCCTTCTCACCTCCGAGTGTAATTAATTGTGATGACTCAGTAATATGGCTTTTAGTTCAGAGTATGGTACTATTTAAAGAGCAAAGGCTAGGGCTCTGTATAGATTGCTTTCCCTTCCCCATCTCACGGCAAACAGATCTGGTAAAGTAGGGAATGTGTTTAAACTCAAATGATGCTCCTGTTCCAATTACCTTTATGCCACAAATCAGAAAACTCAGGAAGGGAGGGGAAGCTGGTGGAAAGTGACAAAAGGGATGGAACTACCTTCCAGCCATCAGTTTTGCTCCCAAGCTTTCCCATTCAGGAGGAACCTACCCTAGAGGGTGAATGAAATAGAGACATCTACTGGCCAGAGGCAGGACATGCATTCTGATTGCCTTCTGGGACATCACCTCCTGGTGAGTCTGAAGGTACTGCTTTACAGCATAAACCTGTTTGTTCTGAGCCGAGAATCATTCTTGGAAAAAGCAGGAGGTGTTTGGATGCAATGAGTAGAAATGTTTTGCACATAAATGGGTGCCTTATCTCATGCCCTTAACCCCCCATAATCATCTAAATAGGCCTAATCTTAATACATAGCATTTCAAGGAAAATGACAAAAAAATAAAAAAAAGAGTGACAAGGAAGGCCCAGATGAATTATAAAATAATGTTTTGTCCATCTCTAGAAATTTGTGTAAACCAGATTAAATCTCGGCCATGATTCTAGGCCCTAAGGTAAGCCACCTAGATGTCTAAATCAGGAGAAATGTGAAGTAAATTATGTTCCAACATATTTAAAAAAAAATATTAACTAGCATGAAGCTATTAAGGAGGATAATTATGAAGCTGTATTACAGCTGAAAATACTCATGGTATAATTATAGATTTTTAAGTAGACTAAACTATGCATAATATGAATATATCTATAAAATGTGTATCAATCTCAGTAAATATCAGAAAGGAGCCAGACAATGGGTAGTGACTCAGGTGGAGTCTCTGCATTCAAATTATCTGAGTGATTGCTTTTAGCAAGTCATCTGCCTCGTGGGACCTCGGAATTTTCATCTGTAAAAAGGGTGATAATACTTGTACATTTAGAATTATTAGGAGTGGATATATGCAACAGATCTGGCACACAGTAGGTGCGCAGAAAACATTCGTTTTTATCCTGTTACCTTCCTCCCCCTTTAGATTATTGAAATTATCAAAGTCTCACAAAATTGCCCATGCTTCTTGTGATGAAGTAATTTCCATTTGGAATATTTGTGGATTTCAATTACCTGCTTTTGCTTCTTAAACAAAAGTGATAAGCCATATTTAAGCTCATTTACCTTTCTAATGTAATCAGATAGCCAGCAACATTTATTATGGTTGCATATTTAGCAGAGCAAGCATGGGAATGTCCTTATGGTATCATTAACTTTATTTCAAAATCACCAAAACAGCTGTAGAGGAGCAATATAGAAAAACTGGTGAATGCAATAAACCATTTACATCCTTCTGTAATGATGGAGCCACTGGCTCTTGTCCCTCCCAAGGGATAGGTATTATTAGGGTGCTCGCATAACCCTTTTCCTCCTTTAAAAGGAAACCTTCACAGTTCACCTGCAAACTTGGGTAAAGGCAAAGAGCACAAGACTAGTTAACACCCAGGATGCACATGGAAGTTCTCCTATTTTAAACTTCCTTATACCTTCACCCACCTTGCAAACACGGTAGGTTAATTTCAAAGATGGTCACAGACATCCCCCTTCCCCAGAAGTCCTGCCTTGCCTATTTTACCATGAGGTGAAATGTATCTGCACCCTTTGGAGCTCTGCTGGATGTTGGCCTGTAAATGGGCTCCCCATACACAGTGGTCACAGAGAAGCGGAAGAGAAGCCAACCACTCCAGTTGGGTAGGTGGCACGTGTAATAAACATGGGAACTGCCAAGACAAGCAGATCTCTGAACCCACCCGCCAGAACCTTCAACGTTTATACAGAGGCCTTAATGGGGTTCAGGCACACATTCAGACCAGATAGTCTCAACGACACTGTGCTCTCTCAAGGCTGCATCGTTGAAAACACTCCCACAGTGGGGGCAGGGGGCAAAGTGTGCATTCCATGGCAGGCTAGATAGCGGTAGATGCCTGATCCATTAAACATCGCTAAGTATTAGTCTTCCCCACTGAACTTCCCATCCTTTTCAATATTCCCGAATGACAGATTTATCAGAACTTGGCACTAAATGAAGCCTAACAGGTTAACCTAAAGATGGTTCTTCTTTTTCTTTGTTTTACTCTACTCTTTCTTCCCACTTCCCTCTTGCCCACCTCTGTCCTAGTCTCAGATTGGGAGCCAGGCTTCAAACTCATGCCTGCTGTTTTCTAGTAAGTCCTTCTGAAAGGAAGATGGGCAATGGATTGTGCTTCAGGTATATTCTGATCAAGGTGGCTGTTTTTCTAGCACAATTAGCGGTGAGCGTGAAAGTATTTCCTGTCACAGCCCTTCTCATTTGCTCTGGGCACTATATAAACGACATTCAGCCATCCTTTCGGAGGGATAAATTCAGCTCCCGTTCCAGTGAGAGCCCAGAGGAGTG